AATTAATTAGAGTTAAAATTTTAATATCAAAATTCGAAGTTATAATTTTTATTATTTATTCATATTTTTTCATTTAATCAAAATACATTCAGAAAAAAATAAGTATCTAATGAAGGAATAATTCGTACAAAGAAGAAAAATCGCGAGTATTTTCAGATCTAAAAATATTATCATTGATTATATTTTTTAATTGAAAATCTTTAACCGAAAAGTCTTTTATGCTTGCTGATACGTAAATAGCGTGTGACCGATATATATAACATAATGAATACATAAACATATTTACACACAGGATCATTAAACGTTTACATTAATCTGTAGTATTCTACAACGCAATGAATCTATGAGAAAGTTATTACATTTAGCTGGAATGTTCACAGGTTCATTGCCTCATTGTCAGATTAAAATAAAAGATAATTGAGCACTCACTGTTACGTCGCGCTGCAGCGGAGTTATAACATTATGATCTGTAAAATACAATCATAAAATCCAAATTATAATACATTCGAAATAATTCCAAAATATAATCAATGCATCAAAAAATAATCATTGCATCAAATTTTCTATTTGCCTTTTTTAGGTAAACATTTCATAAAATAATTACGTAATATTCATCTTCTTTTAATGGTACAAACTTTGAAATTTTGTAAGTATTTCTGTGTAAATTAAAAAAACAATATGAATAATTGCGGGAAATAGAAATTGGAATAGATTAATTCTGTAACAAATGTATATAAATTGTAATTAATTCACCCTAAACTATAATTTAGTTACCTTTGTTGTCCTACTATTACCCGATATTTTTCAGACCTTCTCTCAAGTTCCTAATTCATTACACTTACATAACACTTACTCGCGAAAACACAGTTAATTATGTTCGCACGTTAGTCGCGTTATGTTCACGGAATGTAGAATACGATGATTGCACGGCACTCCCGACATTAATCGCATACGACACGCACTTTACCGTACTGCGACGGAAGAAAGAATATGAACGCGGAAAAAGTACGATCGCAGGAAGCTACGACGTCTCGCAACGGAAGAACATTGGATTATAGAGTTTTAATAAATCACTGATGTTTTGAATATCAAGTTAATACTATGCACTTTATAAATATTAACATACGAAATTAATTATAATTCTGCTCATTAATTAAGTACAATGTCAATTCGTTTGGCAAAGATAGAAAAATTAATATCGGTAAAACCGATCCTTAAAAGATATATGATCGAAGTTGAATTCTATTTGCAAGATATTTCAAATGTATTCTCGTGAAATATTATTGTTAACTTGGGGATCACTTTATTTTTACATAAACGACGCTTAGAATATCTTTATATCCCAATATCATTATTATTAACAACCTATTACTGATTGTTTTCCAATTATTATTTGAGATTTAATCATAATTTTCCGAAAAAAAGTATAGCTAAATATTGAACATTAAGCAGCTTATTATAATAGTAAAAAATTAAAATTTTTTAAAATTAAGATTTTAATTAATATAATGCTTTTTTATTTCGAGATTTGGAATTGCATATTTAAAAGTTATTAAAGTTATTAAAAAAGAGAATAATTATTCAGATCTAGGCATCTTTAAAGAAATGATAATCATCCGCGAAAATCATGATGAAAATGTTAATTCACATGCTTCTATTACTCTGAATTCGATTTAAAATAAATAAATCGCGCAAAATATTTCATAATAATCACTAATGTAAGGAATACTCGTGTCTGGCATACTCTTGCTATTTGTGATCGTTGCGAGAGAATATATGCTGCCTAATCATCTCGAATGTCGTTATGTGAATCAATAATAAGGTATATAACGGGCGTAATGTACAACGACGCGAGTGCATCAGAAAAACAATATTAAGCAAGCGCTGAATGCCATTAAAGTGCTTCTACATAATTCGCAAATCACAAAACGTAGTTCGCAAACGCAGACGCTGAGTCAAGATGCATTTCTTTTTTCATTGCAAGCAATTGGTTTTCATTTCATATCTCTTTCTCTTGAAAAATAGTTATACCAAAAAATATTTGAATTTATCTAAAAGCATTTATGACTATTTAATCATTAGTTTTTAAATTATTATCAAAACCAGAAAAATATACTTTCTTTTTAAACAGACGCATCTTGGTCTATTCGATTTTAGACGAAACAATTCACTATATAAAATAAATAAATAAGATCGATTTGTAAATATAATCATTATATAGCGCACTTCTTTTCTCGCCATCAGTTTACTTTCTTTTACGCTCGCACGAGCGCGACCCATGTTAGCCGTGCCAAAAGACATTTATACCTCGTGAAAGAACAAGAAAGATTGGGTATTGCGGAAACAACTTGTCATTTTCCGGTTGGTTGACTGGACAAAGCTACCCAATGGATATTGAACTCACGAATCTCACCATGGACTTGTTGCTTAAACGGCGAATGAACGCGATGTTACGCATGATAGAGATTACAACGCACAGCATCAAATACCTAAATAATATTTTATTACGTAAATTCTTCAGTAAGTGTCTTCAGAAATCTTCGATTTCCCGCAGTATCCCAATTATTCCTGCAGAAGAGTCAAAAGAGTATTATTCGCGTATGGAAGTCTTATGAGAAATATTAGTATTCACTACAGACTTTTTCGTATGTCTAATGTATTGTTTCAAATATGTGCGTGCAATCGCCTTTGGTATGGCAAAAGTAATAATTTAAACAATTTTATTTGCATATCTGTTGGTGCTACTTTTACCGGTTCTCACGATCGAACGCTTTCTCTCTCGAATCCGTTCCATGGCACGAAGCGCGAGATTTGATGTTGCTTGCGAGATTTAGCGTGAAAGATCGATACGTTCTCAATTAACACGAAACAATAGCGCGCGGAATTGTAGAGCGATGATTGAAACATCTTCTCTGTGAAAATTTCGTAAAGATATTGAACACACTTCGGAGCAACTAAGTTTTTCTGAAGAACTGTTTTTATGAAGAAGAGAATCAACTCTTTGTGAAATCTTCGAATCTTTGACGCTTTTTGCAAATGTAATTAAATGATAGAAGATGAAGGAGAGTACCGATGCGAAACGTTGTAGGTATTGCCGGTCGGTTGTAAGAAATCATTGAGCAAGCGAAAGTAATCATCATTATTCTTGGTTCACATGTATCTACGCGTGTCTCAAAGCAAACACGTATTCTCGAATGGCCGCATCGACTATTACACGGATAGTTAACTCGTTACTCGCAATATGAGAAATTAATTCACTGCCGCGACAGATTTCGACAAATTGCGTGGAGCGTTTGCTTCCTCGTTGTACATTGTTCATTCTTTTTTAAGCTTTCACCGAAAAAAGGCACATTCATATGATTTGTTTGATTGCACATTCATATGATTTCCTAAAGCAAAGTTGAACACGTAATTAAAAAATTTTATTTTAATAAAAAAAAAAGCGTAAAGAATCGTGATTCAGTTTAGAATCGGTTCTAATCCCACAAGAAAAAACGGTTTTGTTTAAGTGTTTAAAAATTTAGTTAGATAAGAATTTAAAAATAATTTTAAACTACAGAATAATGTTAAACTACAGATAATTATGTAAGATGTTTAAACATGATGAATAATGAAAAGTTTTGACATTTTAATAACCAGCTTGAGCGTTTTAATTTTAATAATTACGACGGTAATTATTCAACAAAAATATTTTCAGATTCTAATTAAATTTTTAAATACTTGAATAAAATCATTCTCTTTCCTTGCAATTACTTATCTCCGCTAAACGTTTTAAGAGATATATCTTCGTTAGTCTTCATAACACATCTCTTTATTTCACGTTTCGCATATCATAGTATTGTTCCGACTAAGTACGGTTCGTAATATATAATGTCGCCCACTATTGAAAGTGAGATTGAAATCGTCTGTCTTGCATTGGTCGACGACTGGGTTACCTTGATATCCGCGTCGCTCTCACAAGACACTTAAAATTTACGACACATATCGTCAGGGTTAACGTGGACACTTACCGAATGCTATATATCTCAACAAAATCTTCATTATTTCGGATAATAAAACAACTTTGTAAGCAAAATAATAGTTGCTGATTTAAAATATTGAGTTTGCTTGAGTTGCGTAAGTACGGATGTATTTTTAAGCATCAAATTTTAATTCCTAAAAAGCAGTAAGATCAAACGTATTTATGGATTCGCAACGCTCTTTTTATTGCGGAATGTTGATGACCCTATCCATCATTGTGGAATCTCGTTGGCGCAATACACCACTTGTTGTCGCTATTAAACGAGCCCCGCCGAGATTACCCGGGAGCAATCATCGTTTTTATGGTGAGAAAAATCTTTCGGGTATTAGGCCGCGGGTCGCAGACAGCGCGACATGAATGGACGAATTGTTCTTACGAAACGAATGTAATCCCCGAAGGATTTCTCTTCGAGTATCGCGCAAGAAAACGAGCTCAAGGTAGCCCTTGCCTATGCAACCGTGATTATGCAGCTGCATACGTGGAAGTCGAACCTCAGGTGGGCCCGAGTATCTCCTTACTGCTTTACGAATGCGAATAAACGCACCTTCGAATATCAGAAGCTAGAACTTACGATATCGTGCAAGTGCGGGAAACTATGCGGGAAAATTATGCGTGAAATCATGCAACTTGAAAGTAACAGAAATGGTTCGTCGACACGTCACACTGCCATCCGGAATGCTTTCGCAACCTTATTCAACGTTCGCTCACAATCCCGCGTTACGTAGTAGTTATAGGTTCGTTAAGGAATGTGTATATATACAAATAAATTTATTCTATTTATGCGAAATTTTATCCCTGAGTTAATATGTATGATGAGTTGATGCGACAGATTGGTGTAATCATAAGACATAAGCGCATTTCATAACGCGATTCAAGTCGCATCGAAATAATGTGTACACGCGGCGGACGTTATCGAAAAATTCTCTCTCTCACGTACATCAATGCGATCGCGATCGTTACCGATTGTTGAGTAACGTGACGCGGCGATCGCTTACCACGAAACGCGACGACCGGTTTGCCGCGAAACGGCTTGGTTAGCCGGAGGCCAGACGTCGGGAAAAGAAGGGCGATGCGAAGTCGACCAGCTGACCCAATGTGGCCGGGGATAAGGATGACCTCAGTATGTCGGTCCCGATTACTACGATACGGAGAAATGCTCGTCGTCGAATAAACCGGATGTCATCTGCCCCGATAGCTTCGCGAGTTTAACGTCACGGGATCATTGGGTAATGATCGAGATTCCTCGACATTTTAAGGTCGGATTCACACCTTAACGGAAAAGCGGAAAGCGGAAAAGCGGAAGCCAAAAAAAAATCGGAACTCGCAATAATAGTAGGCGATACATTTCGCTTGTCTGCTTCTGTCTTTCCATGACTTCTGATTGACTTCCGGTTTTTGCGCTTTTCGTTTTTCTGTTTCAAAGTGTGAACCTGGCCTAAGGTTGCTTGTCTTTTAAGAGATAGTCGACACAAATATCGTTCTATCTTTGTATTCATTGAATGTGAAGAAGAATAAAACGAAAAAAATGTGGAAATGGTTTCATGATAAAATGTCTGTAAACAATCGTACTCGATAAAAGAGAACGTCTGATAATACATAATAGATTGAATTTGTTGTTGACTCTTTTTTTTCGTGAATCAAGCAGTCACTACAATCAAATCATAGACGCTATAATATAGAAAGGCACTTATAGCTACTCAAGATGTAGCGTATGCAGTCACGTGTACATGCAAGTGCATAGGCACTCACGTGTACGCGGGAAGAACACGACATAAAAATATTCTTTGCGAGAAAAGGAGTCGGTCAAATAACTGTACGTCGCGGCCTCCGGACGACATCTTCGATGTCGCCGGCGTCTGGAGTCTCCCCTCTCTCTCTCTATACCTATTCCTATAGACACGTACCTTCCTAGACACGAAGACATTTGCATTCGCTCTTTTTTTCTTATCCGTTTCTTCTTGTTTTTTTCCTCGTAAAGTGCGTAAGTTCTTGAGATATCCGAAAAAATTTTATGAGTGTTATACTTGAAACTTCCAGGTTCCACGTTCTTTTTTTTCTCTTTATAAATAACAAAAGGAAAATTACTGTTGCAGTATAAAAAAATGTGTACGAATATGATGACATCCGTATGACGCATAGCAATTATTTCGCGAGGAATTATGACGATGACCAAATGAAGCGCGCTCCTACTATTATAACATCCTTCAATAATTTCCTTTCACCACCCACGCTTCCTCTATCGAATGCATCAAAGCGACCTTGTATTTCACTTACATATGCACAAATTACATTAATATTAAATAAATTGCTTAAAGACATATATATTATATATTAAAGATGTTTTTTTTTCTTTTCTTACAGATGAAGTTTTATCAGATAATATTAGAGCTTCCAGAATAGAAAGGGATCTAGAGGGTAAGTCCCTCTATAAATGTTTATGTGCTAACAAATGTATGGTAATCGTGACACATTTGCGACACCTGAATCACACCGATACACGCAGACAAGGATTGCACTCAAAATTGTGCTTTTTCCAGTTGCATCTGATAATAATCTATTTATACATCTTAGATTTAACAATTCTGTGTCAAGTTTGAGTGCAAGCCTGTAACATAGAACGATCTTTCCGCTTTTGTTCTCTGCTCTCTATATAACTTCTATATCTCTTCTCACGATACATCATTTTGAGTATCTCAATTATCCATGTGCGTGTTGACGCGAGGTGCGGCCATGTAAATATATTTCTCAAGCGGTTATACACACTTTCCTGTCGCTGAGTTGAATATAATATGCATATATCATCTCGTTTCAGTGGTATCTGGCTTTAAAATCTTTCATACATTTAATTACGAGATGTTCTTCCCCAAGACATGAAAATTCATTACGTTATGCAGGAAGTTCTTAAATATTTCAAGTTGTTAAAAATAATGAAGTAATAATAAAATATATTATTTTAATTATTTTAGATATTTAAATTTTTTTTTAATAAAGAAAATCGCTCAATGTACGTGATTTTAGAATTTTCAAGACTTAGGGGTTGTACACAACTTAACTAATAGCTATAAAATATCTTTCTTTCTTTTTCTCGTAAGCATGCCAACTTTTCTTACTTCAAGGAACATTTTTTTTTAAGAAGTAGGGTAACGATGCAAATTAAGCGGGATATCGGATAATGTTGCAACAAGTGTCCTAGGCTACGAAAGAAGAAGGCTCATCTACTAAGATCGTCTGTCTCTTTTTTTCTGTTTCTGTTACTGCTCCTGTCTGCTCCCCGCCTTCAACTCTTCTCAACAACGGATGCCGTCTGCCTCCAACGTCCGTCCGCCACTCCGTCTCTCCGACGACCTACATTACGATAAAAAAAAATACGACGCGAACATTGACTAATGCAAACAAACGATGCTGACGTATTTCGGTACACGGTTATGACATGAACGGGCTCGTAAACGTAAAATGCGACTGAACGAATCAAATTCTTTACGCTTGATTCCAAATCAATCACATTTCTAACTTCGCGTCCCGTTTTGCTGATGTAATCGCTCTCCCCTGTTTCTTTGTTGCCAACAATTTCATTGATAAATTATCGATGCGTATTTCTATGCCGTTATCATATTATTCTGTATCTTTTGAACTTGGCTATTCAGGAATGACCACAGTCCTTTTAGTATCAGCAATTCCTTATGGAAAATCATTACCACCGGTTGGATTATTGACGAAAACGGCACGGACATTCGTGCAACATGGCGCGAGTACCGAATTCGCCACTCAAGTTGTGGGCACGACCTTGGATAACGGTCGTCTCTACGCGAGAATTTTATCTACATCTAGTAGAGTTTATAAAAATCCAACGCCGGATTCGGCGAGTCCCTATGTCGTTTATCCCTCGAGGACACCGGAAGATGATTGGCAGCTTCGATTGGCTCTTGATAACGCACCATTCAGAGCTGAAAGATTGAGTAGTAAAATCAATATCAAATCAAATGAAGAGAAAAAGGATATTGGGAATACTTCAAAACTGGACGAACTGTCCAAAGAAAATGATATATTCAATAAAAGAGAACTAAATGTGGATACGCAGAGATTTAAGCCAGAGAAAGTTCAACCGGCCGATCTGCCCACTTATACTGTCAAACAGGAATACGTGTCAAATAACTTCGATTCATTCGATGATGTATCGAGAAGTTTTAGACCTCGAACACCGAAGATTTTTAAACAGCAGGTGAAAACTCCGCAACAAAATAAGGTAGATATGAAGCTTCTCGCTACGGTGACCTATCATGGCTTCGCGGATTTCACGACAATGGTCGGCGATACCGTCATCGTCTTTTCGCCGAGCACGTCACCGGCACCCATGGGACGTCCTGCTACCACGATTAAAGGCGATGCTACACTTCGTCCGGATGATGGTATAGCAGTATTAAAGATTCAGCCAACGACTGTGATAGAACACGCAAAAACCGATCGATCTTCTGAGGGGGATCGGAAGCACGGTTCGAACGAGCAACTTCTGAGCACTATTAATCATGACAACATTCAGCCAAGCGTCACCGAGGAAATTGACATCGAATCATCTAAGAGATCCACGGAACCGTTATTGTTAGTACCTGATGTCGAAACGGGATCATTGAAGCCAACGGGTCTTGTGAAGGTCGTTGATTCTACTACTTCGTTAGACGGTACCACGACACATTACAAAAGTCTCATTTATGGCACATATATCGGCACGAATTATGCGCAAATAATTCATACATCTTCGAACGTATATTTCTTCCCGGATGATGCCACCGTAACATATGGAGCCGATGACACAACTACGGAATATGGTACAACTGAAACAGAATTCGACGACCAGGATACTACTGTCGAAACACTGCCTTCTACTACGCCGATGATCATTACGACTAGCGAAGAAGAGATGAATGAACTGACTACTCCGTTGAGAGGCACAACAGACAGTGTCTTAACAACACTGAAGGACATCTTAGAAAGTGCAAGAAGAGTATTAGGAACAACTGAATCGGTGATACCGACTTTAGATGACGAAATTCCTAATGATATCGTACCAGGAGATCCTCAGGGTCGTAGTATCAAAGGTGGCTCTCCTCAAAATAATCTCCAACTCGAACATGACTCAGGCAACGAGGAAGAAAAAGTAACGTTAGCTACTAGATTATTGCCGTCTACCGTCTACAAGACGTTTACATACTTCACAACTTTCTTTATTCCAGGCGGCAGCGATCAGACTACGACTTCGGTACGTTCTCGAGAGGTAGTCTCTTCCGAGGTAACGTTTTTGACAGAGTTAATTCGACCTACCTCGATCAAAAATTTAATTCGTCCTACTACCTCGCCAGGCTTAAGGCAGAAAACACCAAGCTTGCCTGATGAAAGTTTGATTGAAGAGGAACAAACTACCAAACAAGATGAGGAGATAGAGCTCATTTTTAAAACTTTGTACACGACGTATACATATCTAACGACATTCTTCCAAGAAAATACATCTAGTGTATCCAGTCGGCAAGTTGTCGAGACTAATGTTATCACACAAACCGTTGGACCAAACGGTGTTTCTGCTGTTGTTGCCGATCTCTTCAATAAAGATGAGTCTGTTTTAATATCGCCAACGACGATATCACAGAACATCTTGCCGTCGGTAATAACAAACGGTCGCACTCCCGAGAAATTCTATAAAGATATTGAACTAGAAGTTCCTGATGAAACGACAGAGGAAGGTTTAACCACTTTCCAGCAGCAGGATACCACATTACACGAAAACATTCCAACGGAATCTATCACAACTATTGATGATTTTGAAACATCTGACAGCTGGACCACCGATTTAGAACCAAGTCCCACGCCAGCTATGGCGAGCGTAGAAATACAGGAACAAGTGAAGACATATTATACGACATATACGTACTTTACCACTATCTTTGTAGACGATGAAACAGAAATCGAAACGCGAACCGAGGTTTTCACTAATGTCATCACAGAGACAATTACACCTACCAAGGTTCAATCAATTTCGCAAGATACGGCTCAACCAACGACGCCGAGATCTCAATCTGTTGAAAATAAGCCTGCGCCTCCTCCAGAAATTTTGGCTTATTTAGAAGCTCTTCAGCGTCAGAAGTCACAAGAAGAGGCACTTTTATTAGCAAAGAAAGTTCAGCAAAATAACACTGATCAAGTAATACATGCTGAAATTATCGAAAACAATACTGAGATTACAACGGAAGAACCTACTACTTTGGAAGATCGGTTCACCACTGAGCGTTTATTTCGTGATTTCCAAGTAGGCGCGCAAGTAACGCCTAATCCTTCGACTGAGGTGGAAGTTCTGGGATCTATGATCACGGACGTCGTATCTTCTTCCAGTTCTGGTGGCGGCACTGTTCTAGATGTGGACAAAAGAAACATCGTTCCCGAAGATCAGGAATTGTCGGAATCTAACAATCATGAAGTAGAACCCGCGCCGACATTGCTTCTACAAACTAGTTACACAACTTTCACATACTTCACGACAATGTATAAGGGTGATCAAACAAATGTCGCCAGTCGTCTGGAAACAGTTACGAATGTTGTCACAGAGACTTTAAGGCCGTCCATCGCAGTGCCGGTTCCAACTAGCACTCTGCCGGTGACATATTTCACAACATTTACATATTGGACGACGTTCTACAAGGGTGGTGACACTATAACCACTAGTCGTGAAGAAACAGTCAGCAATGTTGTTACATCAGATGTCTTGCCTACTCCTACAGTAGAGCTCGGAGTAATAATGACTTATACGCCAACTGTAAATTCACCATTAGAGGAGAAATCAGCCAACGAAGAGGAGTCCAAGATTACGGCGGATAACGAAGTAACACCTGTCGACAGAGCTGGATCTGAAAAATCTATCATCGAAAATATAAACGAACCATCGTCAATAACAATCAAACCTGATGATCAAAACGCGGTGAACATTTCATCAATTTCACCCGAGCCCACAACATTTTACACAACATTCACTTACTTCACTACATCTTACGTCGGAAATGAGACAATCTTGTCCAGCAGACTGGAGACCATAACAAGCGTATCGATACCAGATACTACGACACAACAGGCAACTGGTCGCGCAATTGGTGGATCTATGTATCCGTCAATTCAGACAATAAATACCGATGATAAAACCGTGACACCGTCTAAGATACTCGAAACTTTCAAAACAGGTTTGATTTCGACAATACGTTCGAGTGAAATACATGAAGATATCACGACTCATTACACGACAGATGTATATGGTACTTACATAGATGGATATTACGCACGAGTGGAAAAGAGCTCGACGAGAATAGAAACACCGCCTTTACCTTCTTCATCGATAGCTACACCGGTTCTCCCTACAGGAGTTTTATCTTTGAATAGAGGAAGTGTAGTAGACGCTGACGAAGTCACCACTGTTTACTTTATGACGAAACAAATTGGTACGCTTTTCGAGGGTACTTATGCTAAAGTGATCGAAAGTACGTCAAGCACAAAGATAGACGAGGAAAGAAAAGCAAGCATTCCGCCGACTCAAGGTCATCGAACTGGCCTAGTACGTTTGATTCAAGGTCAGATGGAGAATAACGGTATCACTACATTTTACCAATCAAAAGTAATTGGCACCAGCATTGAGGGAAGATATGCTCAGATTATTGAAAGTACTTCCAGCTTCTTTGTGCCGAGTTCCACGATAGATATTGCGCCCACTTCTATTCTACCTCCAAGTCAATCGACAGGTATACAAGAAATATCACCTTCTCCCGCCGTTATTCAATCTTCTGAAGATCATTCAGAATCTTCTGATCAAGATGAGGACTCCGGCCAGAATGAAGAAGACGACGAAGAGGATGAGGAAGACGACGACGGGCAAAGTTCTAAAAAGAAATCACGATTGACATTCTCGACAAGAAAAAGAACCTTCACGCCAGTTATCAGACCATTCGCTTCTAGGAATAGGCCAACTTTTAATCCGAAACGTAAAGGCGCGCAAGCCGCGACAACTATTACCAGAACAGATATAACCCCGACGATAACTGCTACTTTAGCTGGCAAGGGTAACAGGTTCGCATCATCGCGGGGTCGCGTCACTTCGCCAATCGGGCCGTACTCTTCGACGTTATCCCCCTCAAATTCCAGAAGATTTTCAGGCAGACGCGGATCCGCCACTACTTCAAGCTCGTCATTCCCAGCAGGTAGTACTCGAGGTAGAGCACCGCCCAGAATAACTCCGTCGTCCGTGTTTCAAAGCAACAGACGCGGTCCTACATCTGTAAGAGGATCCTCTGCTAGGATCGCAACTCGCGCTTCAAGTTCTACATTTCCCAGTGCCTCATCGAGATTTCGTGCAGGTATCAGACCATCATCAACGTTATTGAGAGGGCAACCTACTATCAGACACGACGATCAAGAAAACGATGCCAATGAATTCACCACGACTACGCTCATAACGGATGAAATACCGTTTACAGAATATGTCGACGGTGAAACTAATACCACTCCTTTGCAAACTACGACAGAATCATCTAGAAGATCTACGAATCCGCTCCTGAGATTCCGCAGACCCATTAATTTAACTAGTAACGGCAGATCGGTAACTACTTCAAGACCATCAACGACCACAACTTCGAGACGATCGGGAAACTTAAATAGACCGAGCGCGCCAACAATTCCTAGAGTAACCAATGGACGAACAAATAACAGAGCAACTCCTCCGGTATCTACAAGAACACGACCTAGTAATACAGGTCTGTTTCCACCACGTGGATTTCTTGGTAGAAAGCAAGAAGCAACTACTGAAGAATCGACCGAGTCAAGTGAGGAACAAAATGAAGGCAACGAAGGTTTGGAAGACGAGCCCGTTGAAGAAATATCAGATAATGATTACGAAGGATCGGAACATGAAGATAAAAGATCTAACATAAATGTAAATCGTCGTTCCGGAAAAGTTGTTGGACCCGTTGTACAAATTAGACCTTTCGGAGCCAGAACAAGAAGAATTCGACGTCAGGCTAGCCAGCTTAGAGCATACAGTAGTCGTTTCCGTAGACCCGCTCAATCTTCTTCTACAAAAGCGGAAGAGAGATCCGATTCATTAGACGCCATAGTAAATAAAGAAGACATTATAAAAGCACCACCGAAACCTTCTGCTCGTTATAATAATCGTGCGCGAAGTTTAACATCTTCACAACCACAGAAGTTATCTAATTCCGATCAAACGGCAGAAACATCAGAGCTATCAAATCAGCAAAGTAAACCTAGAACCAGATCGAAACAATCTACTGGAAATAGAAATGGATCTGTCAGAATAAAACCATCTCCGGCCTCGAACAATGGAAGACAATTTACATTAAGAGAAAAGGACACCTCTTCTAACAGATCGGGATACAAAAGGCCAACTTCTCTTTCCAGAACGAATAGTAGATCTACTAGTAAACCTGAAAATGGTAGAGTGAGACCACCAAGATTACGAAATGGATCTTCCAAACCGACAGAATCTTCAACGAATTCTCGAAGAATATCATCATCTCGCTCAAGATCATCAAACGGAAGAAATGGAAGTAGAAGAGTTCCTACAAGAGGTAGAGGAACCTTTGAAGATATTCGGGAAGCGCCTACCATATATCCAAATTTCGACGGCACCATAACTGTAACACATTATGTACCAACGGAAGTAACAATTCCTGTGGTGAACAATGGCGTCACAGAACATCGAACTATTATAACGCAGCAACCAAGCACTGAAATCCTCGGACCTTCTCAATATAATACGGTAACAGCTGGAGATGGAAAGCCGCTCGTAGTGATCGTTAGCGAAGTGACGGGTACCAATAATCAAGGCCAGGCCGAGATTACACGATTCTTGCTGCATGAGACACCCACTACTCGTATTTCGCACACCCTCGCAAGCCTCGGTGGCCGTCGCGTCTCTCAATCGATTATTATACCTACGACGGTGTTCTCCGTGGAGAACATAGTTTCTACGATACAACCTTCTTTGCCTGGCAACGCTCCTCTCGCCAATATTCTTCTTTCACAATTACTTCTGGGTCAATTAGGTCAACCGAATTCTTTGTTATCCCAAGCCACACCCACTACGCAGTATAACACACGCACCACCTCCTACGTCACTACAATAACGAAACATCGAAGCACTGTCATTCCCCTCACCTTCCGTGGCAAAGAGATTCTGACGACTTTAGTCGACTCCTCGACCAATGTCGTTACTGCAACGGAATTCATAACGGACACTGTTGTGGTGACTCCAACGGCTGCGATACCGGCGGCTAACATAAATTCTCTCTTGTTGTTACTCCAACAACCGCAGACGCAACTACAGAATCCCAATCCGTTACTGGATCCTCTGTTCGCGGCTGCTCCATTTACGCAGAGTAACACCTTACCGGGAGAAGTCGAGAGAAGACATCAGCCGGCCGATTCCGACTATAAACACGATAGCTATGAGTATTATGAGGACGACGAGGAAGAATATCAAAAGTCATCCAGACCACGCGGACGCGGTAAATTGAATGACAAGAAAAAAGAATCCAAGGCTTCTGCAAAGGTTGAATCTAGCGTGGTGACGCTCTACGTTTCCGGCCGCAGACCCGGAGAATTCAGCACTGTTTTGAGTACTGTGAAAGTCGATTCTGTGTCCAGAAGACGAAGAGACGCTTCGGAAAGAGCCATCGAAGTCCGACCTTCTATACCACCGTCGTTGCACGCTGGACCAGTGGCCGTTGCCATTCTGGCGGGAAGTGAAGATCCTATCGATCACGCACCAACACAAAGTCTCGAGAGCGTAGTGGGTGACGTCGGACGGCATATTTCCACGTCCATCTATACCTAATTTTACTTCCCTCTGTGTTATACAAAAATCCTTTCCCGCTCCTTATTCTCCTATCTCTCTTTCTCTTTATATTATATGTCCATTATTTTATTGGAACCTACTTAGAATTGCCCTGGAGACTAACCGGTTTTTCCGAATTTCTTTCATTTGGAGAGCGTCGGTTCAGCTTCTTCGGGTATGTCACAGTGGGAAAAAACCGAGCAACGTCGATAAAAATCAAAGTTGCTGCGTATGTAATATAGAAAATCCCGAGATTACCGGGATCCCTTTCTTTAAAGTTGCGTAAAGGAAAGGTCATTGGGTAATTGACTTCGGTGAAACAAGAATCATTCGTGAGAATGGCCGTCCCGTATTCAGTTCGCTCTCTCCCAACCTCTCTTAAACTTCTTCTCTTTCCTTCTTAAAAGTATCCTCTTTGAGCATCGTCCCTCATTTCCTTTTACTAACATAACCTCGGTCTGCCGCCGCACGCGCGCCCACACGACAAAACTGGACATGATACTCTTCCGTCTCGCCAACAACATTACAACAAACAAACAAGTCCGATAAAGCGCCCGAAAACGTTATTAAAACGCAAAATGTATATGGTGAAATTCAATCGGATGAGCACACAAAAACCGAACACGAGACGGCAGTTATTTAACTCCAATCAATCAATGCATCACAAAAGCAACACCCGAGAACAGCTTTATCGTTGCACTCTGCTTGATCATATATTTTTATTAGATCGCGGAGTGAACTTAAATACAAGGCGAAATGTGATTCGAACAATCGAATAGAACAGTCGCCTTTGCAGGTAATCTCTACGCTGAATCGGTGCAATATGGAAATAGGAATATTGACCGCAGGAGAGAAGATATTGATGATACATGGTCCAACGAGGATTATATAAACAATGGAAGAATCGATGATGATGACGAAGCTTTTGAAGAACCACGGAAGCGTGTTAGAATTCGAGTACCCGTAGTGCGTAGCAGAACTGCTAGACAACATAAGTTTACGGTCGTCAGGCGCAAACCCTTGACATCTCGCACCAAAGATATCGCGTACACTACGTCTACCACGCATACACCACGAAGAATCGTGATAACGCGTGTCAGAACTATTGGATCGGAAAACTCGATTAATTCGACTGATATTCCGGCAGACTATGGAAGTTACCAGCCTATTGGTTTTGGAAGACATAAAGTAACTATAACTAGACGTAGAAAACTTCAATCTACGCCAACATCGATTCAAAATAAAGTCAGAGTAACCAGGAGAAAATTGGTCGCCGTGCGTCCGATATTTCCAGCATCGACTCTTGCTATTATCACTACTGGATTCTTCACTGCGCCTTCTTCCGAATACGATGAATATTCAGATAAAGAAGATGAGGAAGAGTACGAGAGTGAAATTGTTAGAGAAAAAGATCATTCTGTTACACCCAATCTTGAAGAGACACCGAATTTTATTGATAATAAACCAGATGAAGAAGTGAGTTTTGTATCGTCGGATGGCAGCTATGCTATATCTGAAGAAAATACATTAAACATGCCAGTGATTATTACTGACAATTTTTTTTTCCCTCCATCTAATGATGAGGAAGATGAAGAATACGAAGATGATGACATGACTACGACTGAAAATGCAAACGAAATCACAACTTTAATGAAAGATGAGCATCTTGCAATTTCTCCTAAAGATGAAGATAATATTGTACCTAATAAGAATGATGTTGAGCAGCCAGACAATATTACTGTAACGACAATACCAATCAGCCAAACATTAACGGAATCGTCGGAAGAGAAAACAATAAAAGCTCCTGAAGGATCTGATGCATCAATAAATATAACGGAATCGATCGCTTTGGAAGACATTAATAATACAGAGATATCAACAAAAATTGTTATATTAAATGAATATATACCGACTACTGAACTTACTGTTAATAAAGATGATGACGATAAATTTGCAACGAAAGAACAAATTACTACCATTGCCATCCTTGAAGAGCAAACTACTTTCATGGAGGACATCACTACATTAAACATGCTCGATGAATCTATGACCATTCCCGATAAAGAAAACATCACGACGGAAGAAATTACATCAATTACCGAGATGACAACGATCGATAAAGAAAGTAAAGGAGAAGAATCAATCAAAGCTGCTGAAGCTACAGAACGCAGCGTGATGCCAGAAACGATCAGCGAGAACTCAGAAGAAATTCCAACAGTACAACCACAACAACCGGATGTTATAATTGACTCTAATTCGACCCAGATTTCTCTAATCGGAACGGTCCTTCCATCTGATAGTATCATAATCGCACCGAGCTTCGAGAGCGTTATACCGCTTGAGACTACGAAGTCATCGATACGCGACACTGATACGTCCAATTACTTTGATGATTCGTATATACCCAGCGTGATACCTCTCAGCGCAAATTACACCCGCGAGACAGTCCCCGCGAAAGTCACGAGCGAGATTACGCCGGAGGAAATCGAAGCTGGACTAGCGGATGATCTTTACCTGTCATTATCTCGCCTCGATTTCCCCGAGATCTTACCGTCGAAATCAGCCACGATTAAGCCACTAGAGACTAAATCCACGCCGGATCTCGCTTTGGAGCCCAGTACGAGCGTTTATTATACGGAGACGGTAGTGACGTCGACGCGACTAAGGACGTATACGTACGTGGTGACGCAACTTAACGGACTGGAGACCAAAGTGACGTCGTCGACGACTATACGACCGAGAGTGACGACACTTACGTTGACGGTGCCTGTCACGGTGACTGTCACTCCTACCGTGGAGTCGTCAGCCGGCTTCGTATCATCTGTGTATAATCCAGTACCCGTTGTCGGTGAGTAGTACCTTTTACCCATCTGAGACCTCTCTCTCACGACGATCGCACAAGTGCACAAAAACGTTGAAATGATATATGATATATAAATAATGTTTTAACGAGATAATATTGATCGAGACGCGTAAACTTGTTAAAAAACGAGATGGCTAAACAGGCTATTTCAACGTTGAATGCACACGGTGATTGCCATATGTATGTAATATAATCCTTAGACTAAACTTTTTTTTCGCTACAGACTTCCTGATTACGCGAATTCTGTTAAACTTATACGAAACGGACTGTTGGACTGTGTAAATGCTCTGTTAAATTGTGTTAATTGGCTTTTGGTATTCTAAATTTTTTCCTGTACATTACAGCCCTGTATGAAATGTAAATACTGTATATGGACAAAACGACGCTGTATATATCTGAATTTGCGTTTTTTTAAAATGTATGATACATATGAATATTAATCTCCCCCTATATTAATTACATAACTTTATTAGTTGGATCTTTTTCTGTAAAAATTTGTCGTATATTCGATTATAATCCGAATATACGATTCTTTTTAATCTTTGTACATTAATACAGATATTATTCGTTGATTTAAACTATAATAGGTAAGCCTACAATCTTCCGACAGTATCTTTCACATTGTTACTATATTTTTTTTTCAATATCTTCGAATAAACAGTAATTAAATTGATATTGTAAAGTAACTTATATATGCAATATGTTATTTATGATATCGTAACGATAGGAGAATACGAGGCGAAGGATGAGGAAGAAGGGCGCAGATTTAATTTAGCGACCCGCGTAATGTCAAACGGTGTAGAAGTCATTGTCGCTGGACCAACTCCGGCTCTACGATGGGAAAACTCAAATCCTCAACCTACCCTCACCTTGTCAGAAGCGGTGGTCATGCTCCTGCCGCAGGATAAACCGAACGAGTTTGTCACGAAGACTTGCACAACAACTTTCACGTACCTCAGCACAATC